AGACGATCCAACTGAGTTTGGGGGTCCACATAGACGACAACCACCGGGTCGCAGACCCACGAAAGCCCCGGCGTCTCGAGCAGCAGAGGCACGTCCATCACTATCGGAGGCTTGTTGTAGGGGGGAAGCACACGATAGGAGAAAAGTCGCCAAAGCATAGTTATAATTATATGCTTGTGAGTTATTGTATTCAGCAAGGCTCGAGCTTTTGCATCGGCGAAAACCTACACATGAACATAACCATCAAAAAGTTCTGCTTCCACGAAACTGCAACACATCGGAAAGACAACTGCAGACCTTCTTGAAATGCCATTTAGGAAGTTCCCTGCTTACAAGTTCGCCCAATTTCTGCCTGTTGATTTGGCCTTGAGGAGTTACTATTCCGTCTCCGAATGAAGCAACTACTTCATTAAATGCTGGACGGCCCGGCTCCATGATTTCTCGAGCTATCTTATCCGCATCGATAACCCTGGAGGAGGAAGAGACATATGCACACCTCCCGAGAAACGACCACTTTCTCACTGGACATTATATTTCGCCTCTAGATATGCGACCGCCGTGGACTTCCCAGAACCGATCCCGCCGGTGATCCCGGGGATGACCAAGCGACTTCCGACGAAGTGGAGAGCTCCAGCGAAGAGTCCGGCGAGAATGCCGTGTTTTCTGGTCACCTATGCAAAGACACAGCTAACGGGCCGAATTTGCGAAGGACTCATAAAAGGCCACTGACTCTTGAAAAGCAGTTCTATCCGAACCCCTACCCAAAACTCCACTAAAACTGCCGCCGATGCCGTCATAAGATACTTGCGATGATCGCGGCGAAGTTTGCGACGGAGAGCGCCGAGAGGCAGTTGAGCAGTTGTGAGGATACAACCAGCGATTCCAGTTATGGATGTGAGCATTTACGGAAGACTCCTGTTGGAAAAAGTTACAAAAGTTGGAAAAGCGGCATCAAGAGTCCGGAAATATCTCTAGGAGTAGTCCCGGCACGCACACAATTACGCCGGAGTGATCGCTGGCCACGTCTAGCCTTCCGGAGCCGACCTTCCTTCTGAATAGTTCCCCTCGGCCCAGCTGCTGAGACGCTAGTAGAGAGACGGACTCAAGGAATCAATTCAACAGTAGAATTAGGAGACATTACAGGTATCGAAGTGTTGCCCATCTCGTTACGACTCGCCGACGACCGTTCTTCCTGTGACAAGCGCGTGAATTTCGTGGCGCGTGACACTTTGTTTCATGCGTTCTGTCATAGAATTCATACGGGTCTAACAACCCCCTCGAAACCTTGTAGCAGTTTCCGCCTAAACTGGTGAGTAGCACCGCCTACACCGTACTGGCTCCTACTCGGCGACTTAATAGCAGTTCTTATGCCGGTGGAACTCCTGGGCATAGCTGTGGGTACGCTAGAAAGATCTCCATGGAGCGCAACGGAAAAAAATTTGACTGTTGGAAAATAATTCCAGGCTTTAATTGTGCATTGTTGCATTATCAAGTATGCGTGTCCACTGGTCATTCCTCCTGTCAATCCTTACTCTCGGCGTTCTCTTTTCGGAGACTCCAACTGTCGCGCTAGCGGAGACTGAGGTACCAGGCGTTGCACGCTCGTGGGCTCGACAGCGTAGCTTTCTTCAGGTGGAGGTACAAGATGGGGAGGAGGACCCTGATGATGCTGACGAGCTGTTCGCAGATTCTCCGGACGACTTGGTGAGTTGCGACTTGTGTTTGTACTTGGAGTGATGTGTTATAGGATGACGAGGGAGAGGACGATGATGATGATGATGATGAAGACCTTGGCGAATCCCCTATTGAGAAGGCCAAACGCGAGGAGGAGGAGGCTAATGCGGTACGTTTCCTACCGATCTGCGAGTCAACAACACCTAGTGCTCCTTGTGTGGAGCCCCTCCGAGTGTCTGTAGAGGCGCTCGCTCCCAGTATGCGACTCGGAGGTCTACAGGGGACTGATAGTTTTCGTGCATGGAGCCTCGTTGAGGACAGAATAGCCTTATAGAACAGCACGTTGAAAAATGTCCTATCGTGATGTTTTGTGATATTCAGGTTGACCAGGATTTAACTCCCACTCAAAGAAAAGACAGGATGTCGGCGTGTTTGTCCGTCGCGAGGATACACTTTAACCGTCATGAAGCAGATCTGAAGGATACCATCGACCAGATCATGAACCAGCACGGTGTAATAATCTACCCGTCTCGCGATGTGCTCGGCGCTCAGATGAATCGAGTTCATCCTGTTGGGCTTGTTACGGTATCTCGATCAGGTCCAAGCCGATCAGGCTATGCAGTTCATACAGATGGGGATGATCCGGAATTGCTATTTTTATATCACCCCAGAACTGATGCGTAAGCTCTTGTGGTCTATGGTGTGTTATGTTCACTTTGCCAAGCGGTTTTGCGTCAGGTGACTACCAGTCGTCCCCTGCGAAGTTTTTGGAGGACGATGCGAAAATAACCGCCATGCTCAACACCGATTCCTCCAGCGGACCTAGCGGTCAAATGTCTTCTGAACAGTACGGACTTTTAGAGGAGATCCTCAGGGTACGGTTTCTGAGAAAAAAAATCTCGTGAGATTCTTCGAAGTTCAACTCATTTCCGTTGTTAGGGCGAAGCAAGCAGTGGAGGAGCTGTAGGCCTTCCCGGCGACTCGATGACTAGTCTGCAGAAGGCCGTGTATATGCTTGGCGTATTTGCTGCGTTCTTCGGTATTGCTGCATATGCAACGAAAAGACTCATACAGCAAGAGGAAGGAGTAAGCGCTTGTGCTAGGATGTCGACTTTGTAATCGTCTAGAAATAATAAGTATCGAGTCTGCCAAGTTGTCTTTATGTTGCTTTTCTCTCAGCCCTCCAAAAAGAAGTCTCACACTTCTAAGAGTTTGAAACACGAGAAGAAGATGGAAGCTCGTGCTGCAAAGAAAACCAAGACGAACTGAGTCTCTGTCACCCACATCTAGTGAAAAATATTCGCCTTGGATTGTTTTCTAATCTGTTACGAGTCGTCGAGTTTGAAGTATCTTTGATCTTGCGAAGCGGATCGCTGAGCATTCGAAGGCGGTATCTTGCGAGTGACTCGACTAACTTCCTGATGTCACCGACAAGGAGTCCTTGGCAAGGGGCTTCATGCGAACGTACACATTTTTGATTAAGTACATTGCTATGTTAAGAAAGCTACTGGGTGAGGAAAGTGAGATGAAGCTTGAGTTAGGCTCATCTTGCAGATGATTCCATGATGAAAATTCGTCGAGAATAACGGTGGCAGGCAGTTACTTGTCCATCTAAAGAAACACGACGGGAGTGTGCATTGCTATCTTGAATGCGGAAGAGTTGTCGTGAATGGTGAAGACTGTCTGGCGAT